GGCCTCTGTATGGCCTTCAATTTAAGCTGCTTACGCTTCGCCACTCTGCCATGGGCCCCTGTACCGCCTCCTCATGCTGCTGCCAGGTCCAGAGTGTGTCATGGGTCCCTGTACGGCCTCCCATTGCTGCTGTCTCCATCGCCACACTCTGCCATGTGCCACTTTCAGGTCTCCTCACACTGCTGGTGGGTTCCATTTTGTCATAGGGTGCTGTATGGCCTCCCATTGCTGCTGCCTCCACCGCCATACTGTGGCTCCACACTCTGGTTTTGGCCCGTGACTGCCCAAATGAGTGAAGTGTGCGGTGATTCTAAGATCGACGGCACTCATCTGCATGTCATACTGACTGACAGTATTATTTCTCTTCCCCAGCAGACTCCAAGGGCATTTAAATTAAAGGTACAGTGTTCTGCACTAATATAAAGGCTCTCTGAAGCCTAGAAACCCTTTTAATAAGTTAAATTCGCAGCGAATAAATTCGCATCGAATCGAATTTATTCCGCAAATTCGGCGAATCAGCCGAATCGAATTTTTGAATAATTCGCTCATCTCTAACTATAACTTCCACACAAAGCAATCAATATAAACTTATTGGGATTTTTTTTTACCAAAAACATGTAGCAGAATACATTTTGGCCTAAATTTATAACCAACTTTGAGTTTACTATATATTTTTTATAGCTGAAAGTAAAAAATATTGTTTTTCTTCAAAATTTTTGGCCTTTTTTTGTTTATAGCGTGAAAAATAAAAAGCGCACAGGTGATCAAATTACACCGAAAGAAAGCTCTATTTGAGTGAAAAAAAGGGCGTAAATTTCGTTTGGGTGCAGCATTGCATGACTGTGCAATTATCAGTTGAATTAGTGCAGCGCCGAGTAGCAAAAAGAGGCCTGGTCATTAAGGGGGGTAAATCCTCAGGAGCTCAAGTGGTTAACCTCCCTGGCGGTATGATCATGTCAGGAATTTTGTGCTGAAAGCGGTACCATTTTTTTGCATGGAAATATGTAGTTTTTAATTGTAGGCTGTAATTTTTAGGAATAACTCACTGAAATCTGTCCGAACAAGAGTCTATTAAACATTCCGGATATGATAAAACTTGAAACACAAAATCATAAATTATAATTTAATTAATAATCATAAAAAATAATAATATAATAATAATCAATTTAATTCAATAATATAATCAAACCAAAAACACTGAAATTTGAAATACAGAGGCAAATTCGCACATCGCTGAGCAAAGTCGCAAAATCGTTTTCAGTGTCTGATGACGAATTTCCCCACAAATCATTATCACTCAATTCTGCAAGTGGTTCTGATTTACTATCGCTGTTCTAAAACCGCTTTTGATGTAAAGGGACGCTTTTTGGCCGCCATGGACTTTTCTAAGTTTCCAGGCAGAAAGAACAGTCAAAATGCAGGCAGGGCACAGGACAAAGCAGTGGGGACAAAATGTATGTGAAATGCAGTGAAAAAGCAATGACAGCAAAAATGTCATTTTTTAAAAATTTCAAATTTCCCGCTGGTTCCGCCGCCCGAACGTTCCGACGTCATGGGGACCGGAACACGGAAGTCAGATGCCGGCATCCGCCGGAGGAGATGGACGGGGACGCTGCAGGGGACACATCGTGGGAGCGAAGGACAAGGTAAGTGCTGCAGGGACCCCCAGAGAACGCTGCATGGTAAGCCCGAGTGTAGCTCGGGGTTACCGTTCTTGGTATAGAAATTCTACCCCGAGCTACACTCGGGAAAACCGCTAAGGAGGTTAAGAAAGTACAGAGAAGGGCAACTAAACTGATACAAAGCATGGAGGAAATCAGTTTTGAGGAAAGATTAGAGGAACTGAATTTATTCTCTCTTGAGAAGAGGAGATTAAGGGGGGATATGATACACATGTATAAATACATCAATCGTTCATATAGTGAACTCGGTGTAGATCTATTCACCCTGAGGTCATCACAGAGGACAAGGGGGCACTCTTTGCGTCTGGAGGAAAAGAAATTTAATCTCCAAACACGGAAAAGTTTCTTCACAGTGAGAGCTGTGAAAATGTGGAATAGACTCCCTCAAGAGTTGGTTCTGGCCAGCTCAGTGGATTGCTTCAAAAAAGGCCTGGATTGTTTCTTAGATACACAGGATATAACAGGATGCTAACATTTACAGGTAAAGTTGATCCAGGGAATATCCGATTGCCTCTCGGGGGATCAGGAAGGAATTTTTTTTCCAGCAGCAAATTGGATCATGCTTTGCTGGGTTTTTTTTGCCTTCCTCTTGATCAACTGTGGGTATAGGATAACTTCTTTTTTTTTTTATGGTTGAACTGGATGGACTTTTGTCTTTGTTCAGCCAGACTAAATATGTTACTATGTAAGAGTTTGGGAAATTGTGTCTTGGCATATGCTTTAAGAGTATACTTTCCCCCGTGAAGCAAAGTGAGAAACCCAACCATCATTGCACATCCCCAGAGCAACGCACAATAAATCTACAAGAGTAAGTAAAAACACAATGCATGTAACTAAGTGATAGCTTTTTTAGCATCTTATTAGCTCTGGCCACTAAATCTGTACCTTTGCTTTATTGTAAATTGAATACTGTATGAATATATCTTAGGCTGTAAGATTAATCCCATCAGTTACCTACTAATAAATGTATGAGAGATGACTGGAAAATCTCCTAATTATACACAGGCATAAAAATAGTATAAGATCCATTCTCTACAGCCAGGAGCTTGTCCGCATCTCAAGTGCCCTGTAGCAGACTGTTGATTAATTAAACTGGCTAAGTCTCCTCTTGTAGCTTGTGTAATTATTAAGTGACAGCCTTCTCTGATTAAGTAACAGCCTTCACATGATCAAAGTTCTATTAGTGTGTGACACTAAACATACAGTTAACTGGAACTTGGTGTAAGCATCCAGATCCCATCCAGCTTTAATATGCCATCTATTTCTAATCAAGAAACTAATTAAGCAACTGCAAAATAGTACACTGATGCAGGCAATAGAAGTGGGCCAGGAATTGGACACTCTAAAAGCATGATGGATGAAGACGATCCTCCGGGTACTATATCTCTTGAGAAGAGTGAAAATTTGCAGCACAGACGTTAGGACTGGTAAGTATAATGAGGCTGATTTATTTATTTTCTAAACCATTTGAGACTGTTCATATAATAAATTGTGTGAAAATTCACTTAATTTATCCAATCATGTGCAAATTAAATAAGTAAAGAGGGATTTGCTTTTGACATGATTGGATAATTGGAGTGAATCTTCACATGGTTTTTTGTGTGTACATTCTTAAATCCTTTAGTAAAGCAACTTCAATATCTCGTCTTCACAGGGTAACACTTTTTGCCTTCTCTTAATTTTAACAACAACCACCTACGACGGATATTTCTGGTAGAAATGGTGTGTGTAAATTTTGAGCTATGATCTAGTCACATGATGCAGAAGTTCCTGCTCACTTATGTCATGGAGTGTTTCAAAATGGGGCTGAATTCCAGGAGCCATGACATCACCTACCACCATCCATTGTCAATGCTCTCTTCTCTCCCCTGCAGCAGCCGCTCCATTGCATAGGAGGCATCCTTGACATTACATTACTGAACAGCAGCAAACTGAAATAAGGTATCTTTTTTAGCAGCACTATACAGCATAGGTAGGAGAAAAGGAAAAGCGGTGGTTTTAAGCATATTTTTATACAGCCTTTACTTCCACTTTAAAGTGGTAGTAGACACCGCTTGGCGGCTTGTTCTTACAGGCAAGCTTATGATAAAGCTTACTTGTAGGTACAAGAAATATCTTCTAAATTTAATGTACAGTGTTTAGAAGACAGTCACTATTTCTGCAGCCGGTGACATTACCAGCACATAAACACTGTGCCACGATCATGGCTCTCATGAGCATGCGCGGGAGGGACATCGTCACGGCTCGGCCATTCAAATGGCCAGAGCCCACAAACCCAGAATGAAGACCAGGTGAAGATGACAGCCCTGTCAGTAGTGGGTGCTTTGTATTAAGGTAAATTTTTCATAATGTGCTAGTATGCATCGCATGATGTTAACTTCCAGGGGGAAGTGTTTTTTTTCAGATTTTACTACCACTTTAATGTTGTCTTCCCACTAATGGATTGATACCAGTGGATTTTTTTGAATGCAAAATTTCACCAAAACTTTACTAAATGTGCCACAATTTGAGAAAACAGAAAATCATTTAAAAAAAATGATTGGTACTATTGGAACTTCAAAATGATTGGTACTATTAAATCACTGCATGAGGCTAATAGCTTTTTGGTGTTAAGGATTAGATAATGGATAAATATACATTGGTGTTGACGTCAAGAGTTAAGTGTTAAGGTTTTGGGGCCCCAGACAAAAAACATTTTGTTTTGTAAAGAGAGGGGAAGTGTTAGAACATGTAACAGATTTTATGCTCATTGGAGGAAGAATTTGCACTTACTTGCTATGACATTTTTATCACCATACAGGAAGTAAAGGAGATTCTGTGAGGGGGAACACAAACAGTAAAAAAAGTTAATCAGGTTTCTCACCTTCCCCTGCTCTACTGTACTGATGAAGGCTGGTAGGGGAAAATTCCCTAATATAGTCCTGGACAGCAGTAAAAAAAAAAAAAAATCTCACAGGAATTGTAATCCTTTAAATTGAGGGTTATGCTGCATGGTGAGAGCCAAGGGTTTGATTAAGTATTTAGTTATAGGGGTTATGTAAAAGCAGGATTAGCATCCCCAGGTATTTGTTAGGCAGGAGGCTGAGGATACGAGATGAGTAGTTCTGCTTAATTTCAGCACAACCTAAATTTGCTAAATTAATAAAAAAAAAATCACTGAATTTGAATTTTAACCACCTCCCGCCCCACCATATAGTCCACTGACAGGCGCAAGGTGGTTCTCTCCTTCTGATAGGCCGTCTTTTTATGGCCTTCCATTCTCACTGTGCATGCGCAACTCAAGGAGCGTGCAGCATGGAGATCGGCGGTGCTCTCTGTCCCTCGGACACAGCGGATCACTGATCCACGGAAAGAGCCGAAGATGTCGGCTCGGTCATGTGATGAGCTGTGTCCAATCACAGCTGATCACATGTAAACAGGGAAATGCCGGTTATCGGCATTTCTCTCCTCTCGAGCTGTCACACTGACAGCTCGAGAGGAGAGGAGAGCCAGTAATCGGCATTCTGCGGAGGGGACATGTACACTGATCATCAGGGCACTGATGATCAGTGTGCCCTGATGATCAGTGTGGCCCCAGAAGTGCCACCTGTCAGTGTCCATCAGTGCCAGCTGACAGTGCTGAACAGTGCCACATGCCAGTGCCCATCAGTGCCACATATCAGTGCCTACCAGTGCACATCAGTGCCACATATCAGTGCCCATATGAGCTGCCCTTCAGTGTCACCCATCAGTGCCAGTCAGTGCCATCTATCAATGCCAATCAGTGCCACCTATCAGTGCTGCCAATCAGTGCCACCTATCAGTGCCAGTCAGTGCCGCCTATCAGTGCGCATCAGTGCCACCTATCAGTGCTGCCTATCAGTGCTAGTCAGTGCCACCTAACAGCGTCAGTCAGTGCCACCTAACAGTGCCATTCAGTGACGCCTATCAGTGCCAGTCAGTGCCTCCTATCTGTGCCATATATTAGTGCTGCCTTTCAGTGCCCATCAGTGATGCCTGTCAATGCCCATCAGTGCCACCTACCAGTGCCTCCTCATCAGTGCCCATCAGTGCCACCTATCAGTGTCCATCACTACAGCCTCATTAGCGCACATCAGTGAAGGGGAAAAATCACTTATTTACAAAATTTTATAACAAAAACTAAGAAAAAACATTTTTTTTCCAAAATTTTCAGTGGTTTTTGGTTTGTTTAAGAAAAAATAAAAAACCCAGAGGTGATTAAATACCACCAAAATAAAGCTCTATCTGTCACAAAAAAATGCAAAAAATTTCATATGGGTACAGTGTTGCATGACCGCACAATTGTCATTCAAAGTGTGACAGCGCTGAGAGCTGGAAATTGGCCTGGGCAGGAAGGGGGTATAAGTGCCCTGTAGGTAAGCGGTTAAACTTCAATTGCACTGTGTATTAATGGGAGACCATGTGCAGCGTTTGCCCTTTGCAGGGCTGCAGTTTGTTTTACTTGAGGCATTTTAGTCAATAAATATGTCTGTTTATAAGCAATTCAGTGGCATTCACCTGGAATTCCATGGCCACATTCACCCTATGTACCTCCTGTGAAGATTAGTATTTACCCTGCAGGTGAATCAGCCAGCAATAGTTTTCTATAGCACTGAACTGTGTTAATAATACAGAGGTTTGGCACTGGAAAGGTAACCTTTTTTTAATTTAAGGAGAGAACAAAAATTTATCTTGATACTTAGGGTGAATATTCAGTATTATGGGTGAAAAAAAGAGTGAAATGACATTTGAATTACTTGGGTAACTGAACAGAAGGCCATCCATGTGCTTTTTCTGCAGTGTCTTAAAGGATTGACACTTAAAGTGTACCTCTTAAAAAACTGCCAATGCGATCTTCAAGTATTTAGGTAAATAAGTCTACTTACATATATCCTTATCTCTTTTGTTTTCAGAGCTTGCCAAACAATTCCTGTTCTGCCTGTGCCCGCAACTGAGCTGCCATTTTTGAAAAATAAATCATCATGGCTGACTTCTTCATTTTGGTTCCTGGTGCTGGCCAATCTGGCCTGCACCAGATCACTCACATTCACCAAAAGCAGTTGGTTTCCGTGGTATAGTTCATAAGAAACTAAGGCAGATTCCGGATTGCGCATTTGTTAAAATTGCCTTGTTTGCTCATTGAACAATAAGACTGAGATAGATTCTGTATTGTGCATGCGCAAGAGCCAGTAAGATCCCCCTGGAAGGCACTAGTGACAAGGATTTCCCATCTGTGAGCCACTGACTACCTCATCTGTGGAAGTGCCAGGAAAAAAAAGTTATGATTTATAAAATCCATATGATTACAGGATGTTTATGCTTGTGCATGCAGATCTGCATGCACTGTGCATGTTTGTGTTTTTGGGGGAAACGTTCCATTGTAAAACCATGTATATAGCATGAGACCAGAATGACATAAAAAACAGTTGAGCCAATAGCAATGCTGTCATTTTTTAATAGCTACTAGGACTTGTGTATCTAATTTTATCAAGATTTTGTCAAGATTTGGCAATGTACTAATTTGCATCCTTATTATATTTGACAAACCTGCTGTATAAATTATGGAGGATAGTGAATAATAAAGTACTGATATGCACTTAGTGGAATACATTTTTTTTCCTTTGTTGTCCTTCATTTGTCTAGAATGATGAACCTACACCTACATAAACTCTATATTGCAGCATTAAAACTGAATGGCACCACAATGCAGTAATGCAAATATGTGTATGAGTCCTTATTATCACTCTCTCCAATGAAAGAAATGTTTTTTAGCAATGAAGAAATTACAGTGGCACCTACAGTCACTAATTAGCACTAATGTGATAATATTGCAAGTGATGTGTTTTGTAAGCAACACTATATGTTTGTGCAGTTGAAGAGATTTTAAGTCATCTTAAGGCAGCTGCGCTCATGATACTTTAGGTTCTTAAGAATAATTAAAGATTTAGTTGACCTTTACTTCTTTCCTCCCTTCCTAAAACCTCTTTCGCTTACTTTATCACATTTATAAAATTGTCCTTCCCTCCCTGTATTGCAGATGGTAGGACATTACAGTACCTAGCATTGGATGTGCGATCCAGGACACCATCTAATGGGCACTTGGCTTTATTCCCTACTCACAAATGTGCAGTTTGCGCTCTTTTACTCTCGTAGAATTATGAGTTGAGAGAGAACAGACTGCGCATTCATGGGTAGAGAATGAAGCTGAGTGCTTGTTTGCCTCATCAGGTTTGTTCAACTACAGTATACACAGAGACAGCATGTTATCCCTCATATTTATTTGCAGTTCTTCTGCATTAGTTTTATTGATAAACTTCTTGCAATATCCTGTTTTACATTCATTAATATAAAGTAAACTCATTTATGATCTTGTTTGTTGCTGAGATCCGTGTGCCAATTATGACATACCATTTATACTCTGGATTATCATTCAGCATACTGTAAAATAAATGTTCTATGGGCTAGCCATTTCTGCCTGGCACCAGTACTTTATTCAAATGGATGTCAGCAGTATTAGAACCTGGGATGAGCAGCTTTAGCACCTGGAATGAGCTGAACAATACTTTGCATTGAAAGATACAGTCTTTTTTTTCCTCAAGAAGGAAATATGAGCAGACCCCATATGGAGACATCTCTACAGGTTACAATTATTCTGTTCAGTGAGTAGAAGCTTAATCTAGGCCTCAGCTCCCCCCTCATTTTCATTCTCATTACATAATACAAAGTGGGTGTTCTTCCTGTCACTGCCAAAGGCAGAAAACACTCCACTATGCAAAGACAAGGACAACTCTACCCAAGTACAGATTGCAGTGACATATCACTACCTAGACATGCAAACAAAAAGTCTCATTTATAAAAGTGTCTCTAGTAAAATTGCTTTTGTTGGAGAAAATCAAATTATACTATTAGATAATAGATTATAAACCAATTCCTTCAAGAAAAAATGTACAGTGGAAATGCAATAAGGAATCTCAATGGTTGCTATGCATAAGATAAAAAGTGACATGCACCTTGTTGGACTTAACCCACCCTAATCCAGCACATTTTAGAAAGTGGTTGAATTCCTGGAGTTCAGATTTTGCTTGTTTTTTTTAATTCTGGTACCTGCCCTTCCATTACAATTGCAGGCTTGACCCACAAAAGAGTAGGCTCAGGTTTTAGTTATCAATACCTCTTTAAGTCCCTCCCATTGCTAGTGCAATTTGGCCACACCCACCACCTGCACACTGCACTAATACTCTCCTAATAGCACCTGGGTTTTTCACAATCTTAGTTATTCCCCTGTGCTATGTAAAATGCTTGCATACTAATTTGGTTCTTTGTTCTGTAAAAAGAATTGGCACCTATACTGGGGCAAAAAAAGCCCTGCTGCATATATTTATTTGTGGATTCTTTCATCATTATAGTTATTTTTAGTTACCTATTGGGCTACTCAGTTGTCTGATTAACCACTTCCCGACCGGCCGTTGTATATAAACGGTCGGACGGGAGCGCACAGCACCGCAATCTGGTGCCCGCTGTGTCCTCTGGACACAGTGAAACACCGGTCATCGGACGGGACCTCTGTACGAGGTCCCGATCATGTGATCACTGCTTGGCCAATCAGTGATCACATGCAAAGTAGTAAGCAAGATGTCACTTCTGACATCATTGCTTACTATGTGTGAAATCTGTGAATGATCACAGAGGTCACATGGTACAAGGCTATTCACAACAGCCTTGTACCATGTGACAAGCTGTGACCAATCACAGCTCACTCAGTAGTTCTCAATGGCTGCAAGAATGCAGACAGAGAGAAAGAGAAATGATTGTTTACATCCTATATGGGTGTAAAAGCAATCAGTGTAAAAAAAATAAATAAATCTTCATCACCCCCCAAAAGTAGTACAGTGTCACCATGGTGACACTGTACTGCTAGGGTGACAGTATGTAAAAAAAAAAAAAAAATAATAATATAAAAAAATAAATGTTTAAAAATTATAAATTTTGGTTATAAACTAATTTGGATTATTTTTTTTTTACTAAAAAGATAACGGAATACATTTTGGCCAGGATTTATGATGAAATATTATTTATTTGCAAAATTTTATAAGAAAAACACTTTTTTTCAAAATTTTTGGACATTTTCATTTACATAGCAAAAAAAATTAAAATCCCAGTGGTGAATAAATACCACCAAAATAAAGTTTTATCTGTCTCAAAAAAATGGTAAAAAATTCATATGGGTACAGTGTTGCATGACCATGGTTGTCATTCAAAGTGTGATAGCGCTGAAAGCTGAAAATTGCCCTGGTCAGGAAGGAGGTAAAAGTGTCCGGACTGGAAGTGGTTAAGGTTTTTATGTCAAGGTGGTATAGCTTTATGTGTGTGTGTGGTAGTAGTAGTAGTAGTAGTAGTAGTAGTAGTAGTAGTAGTAGCAGCAGTAGTAGTAGTTATCATGTAACTGATTCCATCATCCCTCTCAAACCCAAAAATTTAACTGTTCTATATTTTAGATGTACTTATCAAGGGTTAGGCCTACTAGCTTATGAATATGTTCTATTTAGGGACATAAATGAATACAGCAGGGTCCCACAGAAAAAGTATTACAAAGCAACTCAGCTCTCCCAGGTTCATCCTAAAGGCAGTCAGACTACTGAGAATGATGGTATTCTAAGTCAACATAGCATAATATTTACTATGTATGTTAATCTGTTGTAGCACTATACATAATGATTTAATCCAAAATGGCTTGTGCTGCAGCC